AATTATCTGTTAGTACAAGCTTCCTTCCCATGGGAAAGATAATGACTAGCTTGGATGAGCTTGTAACGGCTCTTGTCGAATAGTTAGAAAGCCAGAAAAATTGTGATATTTTGAGAAATTGTCTGCTTTTTGCATGTTATTATTCTATATTCTATGTGCATTACTACCATTAGTATAAAAAAGTGGGGTTAAATGTCATTGACAGTCAACAGCAAGAAAAAAGAAGACCCAGTTGAGTACTTTATTTATTGTTTTTCATGTTTATTCTTTATTTATTATTATAAAAGTAAGGGATCTCTTTAGGTTAGATTAGGTAAAATAAATAATAATAATGTAATAAAAGTGTTTTAAAAGGGATGCACATGAGCAACTTGGAATAGCTCATGGGTAATGTAATTTGATAGTTTAGCATGAGCTCCAAGTTCCCCATGTGATTTACAACTTATAATGGCATGAACAGTAGTAGTTAGATATGGTTCAAAGGGCTATAAAACAATAAAATTTAAGTATAACTAGAATGTATATTGATATGAGTTTAAAGCTACTTAGGATAAGTGAATGTAGTTTCATGTTACAATCTGAAGTCATTCTAGAAAGAAAAAAAGGGGAATTTAGATTTACTTCGAATTTTTTTTGGTGGTTATGAGATCAATCAAATTGACCAACCCTCTACATAGTTAGGGTAAAGAAAATAACAGATAAAATATAAAGTTTTACTGAAAACAAACATTTGAAATGTATTTAGGAGGTTTCAAAGATTATGCAAATTTTAATCTTAACATGAAAATCACTTTGCACGGTGACTAGTAAAAAAAGTACTCGATATAATCACAAACTAAATTTTTTTTTTATTTTATTAAAAGTACTTCATTAAAAATCATTTTTTTGTATGTGAAAGACTTATAATGTTTACTGAAAGTCTGCAAAATTTGTGAAGATATACCTACTATATTGAAAGTTAGTAGTATAAAACTATAAAGACTTTAAACAAGTACAAGGAGATCACATGGTCAGTCAAAACGATTGAGCCTGTGTTGAGAACGTTATTAATCTGTATTTGTCCCTTTAAATCTTATCAACAGCCAATTTGGCTGGCTTTTAAAAAATGACTGTACCAGAAATAGATGATTATATTACAAGAAGTGCTTATGGCTGTTTCAATACAACAGGGTAATTCTTAAGAATATGGTAATTTGTTTAGTTTTTAACGTTATTTACATA